GATTATCATTATAATAATGAGACCCTGGCAAATGCCAAGAGAAAATAAATTCTTAACAGCTTCTGGAGCCTGAAACCAGAAATTGGTGTAAATATGAAATATGAACATATATAGTTTAGTTAGGTTTATGAATAAATTAGATAATTGATATTAGACAAAAACATTCTTTTAATTGACTCATTACCATATTTCTTTCTTTTCTACTCTAACAGCTTGTACTTCTTTTCTGTGATTTGCATGGGTAGGTTTGAATACCCACAGATATCAAGCCTTAAATATCTAAACCAGTTAAGACATTTGGTAGTAATATTGCACAGTTACCTTGTAGCACATTTATCAGGAGCCATGGCCCGATGAATTTTTTGTTTTTTGAGACCTATTTCTTGTCCCAACAATAAGATATTGAGAATCTTTTCAATGTTGAACCCTTCTTGGACTATTTCAGAGCACTTGTCATTGATTTCATTTATCTGGATCACAAATTTCAATTTTCTGGCCTAGAGTTTAGTTTCAACTGGGCACATTCCCCAGGAAACGATGAGTATTTGCTTAAACATGCAGCATCTGTGATTTTTCTTTTGCGATTCATTTATATACTAATAACAGAGAAGCCTCTGTTACTAAAAGCCGGGGCAAACGTTCTATGAGACCAAACGGGTGGCTTCTTTTTTAATTTCCTGACAAATGACAGATGGTATAACACAAACACTCAGTTCCTCAAAAGATGTAATTGAAAAAGCCTTTCCAGCGAAGGCAGACACTACACCCAGTGTACATCAAGATAATTGACCTCGGATGTAATCACCCTTACAACAAGCAAGAAAACAAGCTCATGCCTCCTGTCTCTGTCAATGACATGGGCCTCAGACACTTTTTCAAGTTAAATGTAAAGTCTCTGCGTAAAGTCATGCTTTCCGTATCATGACAGTGACTCCCACCATTCTTGCTTGGGTCTCATTTCCAACTCATTCTACAAATGGACGGGTTCTTCCTCCCCTAAGTACCCTCAGAAGGATGCACACCAAAGTGATGACAGTACTTATATGTGGTGAGGAGAGAAAGGGCGAGCAAATTCCTCTTTCCTGGTGAACCTCTACCTATATAAGAGTGGAAGGATTATCGTGATCATGTTCAACTGCTCAGTCCTCTCTTTCCGTATTACATAGGGGCTGATATGCACATCTGCAGGGAAAAAAATAGTAAACAGAAAGTATAAACTTTTATATTAAAAAAATGATTGGATTTAGGAGTACATCAAATACATTATCCGCTGAGAAGCTGTTTATGGAGTGACGGTAACCTGTGTGTAAATTTCTGACATCAGAAGGACAGGAAAGAGCATTTACAATGGCTTTCTAATTTGTTTTCTTTTGATCTTTTTTCTCTTTCAAATCCATCTGCCATAATGTCATTATTAAGATATTTATAAAATCTGGATTTGATTTAAAAATATAATTGCCCTGATTAAGAACCTTTGCTGGATCACTATTATCTACTAAAGAAAGTATGAATTCCCAGCCTGATGTATAGATGCTTTTAAAATATGGTCTACCCAACTTTTCCAAGTCCATCTGTACCCTCTGTGCCACTCTATGTTGCAGTCATGCAAAGTAACCAAGCAAGAGTTTCTGAACTTCCCAGATGCTACTACACCCCTATGACTTTTCTCTTCCTGTGCCAACTGACAAAGAATACCTTGCAGCCACCTCTTCACTTCTTGAACTCCTACTCCTCCTTCAGTGTCCAGCTCAAATGCCCCTCCTCTGTGAATACCTCTCTAGGCATCCTTGAGTCTTTGTATGCCTTGTATGTTCCCCCCTTCTGTATCCTTGAGCCTTTGGCTCAGATACATATAGAACTTATCACAACAAACTTTGATTTATAGTGTACAGGTCTTTCTTCTTTTATAGCCCATGAAATCCTTGAAGGGCAAGCCATACTGTATTTACTCTCGTAATCTCAGTGCCTAACATGGAGTCTATTAGACATTCAACATTCATTTTATCAATGAATGAATCATTCATTCATAGAATGACCATTCTGTAATGAGCAAGAAAGAACTGTTCTTATCACTATTATTAAAGCCCTTGACAGGACGCTGCTGCCTCTTAGTCACTGAAGGGACTCTGAGAGATCGCTAGTGTAATCTCTTCCTGGGCTTCCCATTTCAGGGCTGTTCAGTTCTTAGAGAATTGCTGCAACTGACCTCCTTGGCATACTTAGTGTTTGGTATTAGATAGTGGTTACTAAATTGCCCATCAGCTTTGTTCTTGTGGGAAATCCTTAATTTGTTTTATCATTCTTTTCTCAATTCTCTGTCAACGCTCCTATCAATTGGTCAGCAATTAGTGAGCCAAATGGGCAACCCCCTTGGCACTTGGTACTAAATTCGGGGTTCTTTTTTTCCCCCATAGTCTTGGAGATCTGGAGGCATGAAAGAAATCCAGGAAGGGGACAAATAAAGACATATGAATTAGAGAAACGGAAAGTGCATATGGCACCATTAGAAAGGAAGGGTCATGGACAGGTTGTCAGCTAACAGTTCTAAGGAAAATAAAATATATAAAAACAAAACAAAATAAGTGCCTGCCTGTAGGGAACATGGTGTAGTACAAAGGCTTTCACATTTTTTTCTGGGAATGGGAATCTTACTCAGAAGTCTGTTGTAGAGATAGTGAGTTGTCTAATGCAATACTCATTCTGAGTAACAGAATTCATCTGAGGCAGCAACATGTCTAGCCGAAAGACACACTGCCAGCTTTCCTGGTAGTGTTGAGGCTGTAATTAAGTACTCCTGGTAAACAACATCTAGGTGGAAGTGACATGTGGGGCCTCAGAAAAGTAGTCTATTTAACAGTGAAAATGTGCACTCTTTTTCTTTTTTTTTTCCTTCCTTTTGTATAGAATGCAGATGTAATGACTGATTTCAAGCAGCCATTTTGGACTTTGAGTGAGCTAAGGAATGGTAGAGCAAGCCAGGAAAACTCTGGGTCCCTGGCACTGAGACCCACCACACCTGAAGAGCCATGGCTGTGGACACACCAGGAGTGCCTATCTCTAGACTTCTAACATGAGAGACATCAATTTCTATCATGGTTAAGTCATAGTTATTTTGAGTTTTCTGAATTTACTCTTAATCGATAAATACTCTTGTCCCCAAGGAACTTAAGATCCAGAACAAGAATATTTGGCACAATGTAAAGATCTAATAGAAAGATAGGTACATTTAATTCTGTGTAATTATTCAATTTATGAATAACTGAGCTGCAAGGAAATAATATTTTAAATTCACCAGGGAAACTAACAAGTGAAAAGAAAAATTATAAAATATTCATGTGAACATGGAAACATGAAGAAAGGTGTGGAAAAAATGAGTGAGGTATATTAATATTGACAGCACATATTTGGACTTTTACTTCTTACAATGACCAAGTAATACTTTTGAGGTTTAAAAAATTAAATTGGAAAACATTTTAAACTAAAAGTAATTGATAAATATTTCTATGAAAGAAAACTATAATGATTTATCTATATTTTTTTTTAAAGGGGGAATTCTATCATTCTGTTTTCAGACCCTTGGTACCTGGCTTTTCATCCCCCATCCACTAACAACTAGTCATGGAATCCTGGGGAAGTCACACTCTTTGGACCTTAGTAAGACGAGAATGTTAGTCAATGAACTTTAAAGTTTCCTCCAGCACTAAAATTCTGTGAACTTAATCATACGTTTGCTTCAGTGGATATCTTACTGCGCTTCTCCAGTCTGGTTTCTATGAGTTCAAGAGTTGTTAAAATGAGTTACTTATGTAGTTCTTATGTCTCTATTTCTGCGACAGGGGTGACTAACAAATTTAAATGCCATGGAAGAATAACACAGATAACTCCAAACTCCACCATTCTCCTATGTTTCCATAATGGCTTTTCCAAACACATAACATACTATTTCTTAAGGTACTATACTTTACGTGTCTGTTCCTCTACAGATTGTGAGCCCTTGGGGTGGGGGAGGGGGAAGGAAATGCATCTGCCTGGTGCCAAGCACTGCCTTGAGTATACTGTAGGTGATTTTGCTGAAGAGATGAGTGAATGAAGGAAAATTTTCATAAAATGATGATGATCCTAAGAGAAATCGATGGCTAATCTTTGACCAATAACTTGAAATCTTGTCTCTTTACTTTGTAATCCAGATTAGGATTTTAACGGATGTGTGACATATTCATTAGTCACAAAAACTTCAGGAATTCTTGATAGTTTTTGCAAGCTTTATTGGCTTTTAGGTTGTTGCCAGACTAATTCAGCCATCAAGGGAAAAAGGGTGAGTTTCATGCTGGCATGGATCAAAAGCTGTTGTGCTGTCTCTTGACTGTGGACTGTACATGGGGCGCCTTCAGCTCATTCTGGGAGACTGTGCAAGAGGACGTGAGGATTGTCACACAGTCCATCTCCAGAGACCGGGGGACTCTGGTGGGGAAACTCCACCTGAAGCCCTTGTCTTAGTGAGGCTAGGCCAATGCCATCAATGAGAGGTGAGACGACCCGTTCTCACTGTTGTCCTATATGCTACCTAAATTAATGACACTTGCTCTCCTCACACACCCTCCAAAGTAAAGGCAAATAAGGAAAGTGACAAAGCCCTCATGGCTTTAATTCCAACCATAAACAAAGCCATTTCCTTGCCCTCTTCCCTGGTGACTGTCTTTCTACTCCCGAGTGGGTCCAAGAGTAGCTACTGCCCAGAGGCAGGTGCAAAGCACTCAGTCCTTCCTCCCTGGGGCCCCTTCTCTCCCTGCTGTTCTAACAGGGGTGCCCTAAAACCGACATCACCGAACCCCTCACACAGAACAAGAGGTGGTCTGAGTAACATTTATATACGCCTCCTCATGGAGACTCAGAGCAAATTATAAGTGTTACAGTATTAGGAGTTTAAAAAAATCAGATCATTGAATAAAAATAGATTTCAAATAACAATCAATGTAAAACATGAGTATTAAAGAGCATACCGCAGTACCCTGGGGTTCCACATACTGTCTTCATGAGCACTTGATGTTCCACAATTTTAGAAAGTCCAAAATCAGCTAACAACACAAGAAAAAAATTTAATGAAGCAAGTCTTTTCTCAGCTTTTGTAAGATGATAGAATACTTCTATAATTCAAAATAAAACTAACATTTATTTATGTGTGTGTTTGTTTTTGTATTTGCTAATGAGGTGGATGTAGATGACACCAGACACCTGGGAGAGGAAAACACAAAAAATAATAATAATTCAAGTCTTGCTTTAAACTGGAGGAAAATATGACTTCCAAACACATTTTATGCTCTTCTCTAAATTCCCAGCTGTTAGCAAATAAGCTATTTGTTCTTGAAGCAATAGCTGCAATAGATATATTTTTGTTTAATATCAATTCTGAGACTTATGAAACAGTAACTCTAAAGGACAATGTAAAATTAGTGATATGATTCAGAACTCTTAATCCATTGAAAGAAATCAAAATAAAAAATTAGACTCATAAATATTGAAGAAATGGACAGAAATATCAAAAGATTTATTCTGCTTCAAAATAAATAATGTCATTCCCTAGTGACAGATAAGAATTTACTCGCATATAAGGAATATGACTTTTGTTTTTCTCAAAAATCCTTTTTATTTATTCCTCAGAATATTACCTAGATAAAACATTATCACAAATTGCTACCATTTGGTCTCTTTGCTGCTGGAGTACATGTCTCTCTCTCTCTCAACATCAGGAAACCGTTCTGAGCTATTCTTCAAGAGAGGCAAGCAGAATTGATGCCATTTTAGACTTCAGAGATAAACCCACATTTCCATAGAGGTGCTGATCCTTATCAGGGAAAGCAGTGGGAGGTCCTTTAGAAAGAAAGGCTCTTCTGCCTAAATTAGTATCTATCCATCCATTTAAAGAACTTTCTTTAAGGATAAAATCTTTGAAAGTGATGTCAAAGGAAATGGGAGGCTCCCTGCTCCCACCGCCTCTCAGGGGTGATTATGAGAACAAGCCAGCTGCCCAGCAAGACTTCGGTATTTTTTCTTTCGGTTCTTGCATTCATAAAGCACATCATGTTGTCTGACCTCTCCCGTGATATGTATAACTTAATTTTCAAAGTTGTTAACACTTAGGAATGCGGTGAATTCCTCAGATTAGCATCATAAAGGGCGGCAGCAGAAGAGCAATGCCCTTCAGAGGATTTAAGACAGATTCTACCGAGGAGAATTCATTTCAAATCAATTTTATAATTTTCTTTTTTTGCATATGAAGGGACATGGAAAGTAACATGTAATATAATTTTTTCTAAAATGCTGATTTAAATATCTCTTTGAGTACATTAGAATTTCCCAAAGTTCATCTTTGTAGTTCTTCAGAATACTTATTGGGGGAAAAAAAGAAGTTTCCAGGGTCAAATAAGATTTGAGAAAAGCCTCACTGTATACTACATAAGATGTCAGTTTACACATCAGCATTTTTTAAACTCTGGGAAGTCCTGCAGAAATCAAATCTTGTTTAGGGGCTGGCCCCATGGCCAAGTGGTTAAGTGCACATGCTCCGCTTCGGTGGCCCAGGGTTCGGATCCTGGGTGCGGACATGGCACCACTCATCAGGCCATGTTGAGGCGGCGTCCCTCATGGCACAATCAGAGGCACTCGCAATTAGAATATACAACTATGTACTCGGGGGCTTTGGGGAGAAGAAGAAAAAAAATAAGATTGGCAACAGATGTTAGCTCAGGTGTCAATCTTAAGAAAAAAAAGAAAGTTTAAAAAAACATATTGTTTAACTTTAAGTTGGCTTTTCCTATCTTATTTGACCAACCTTAGCACTCCACTCCCATCTCCCCAAAAGGGAGTTACTCACCTCCAGTCACTCTGCTGAGGAATCAGTGTTCTGTGGAGTGAGCTTTGGAAAGCACAGATCTCAATTTATCTCTGTTCCCGTAAACAAGTGACTCAGAGGCTAAATTCACTAAGATGTGTTAAGCATTTTGTGTAAAAGTTCTTGATTATCTAAAATTAAGCTCCAACTAACTTGTGGAATAAAAGTTAATAACTCAAAAAGAAACGTTATCTGTGGTTTTCTTCTATACAAGCTTATCTACAAAATACAAGGTCACCTCCTGAAGTCCCCACTGTTTCTAACGGCTGTGATTCCTTTGTGTGTCCAGCAATGGAGCACCAATTCTAGGCACTAATTTCCAGATTAATATTCCCGGAAAGAGCACAGATTCCAAAACAAAGCATTATTCTCTTACAGGAACCAAATATTCAAGGAAATTGAATGGAAAAGAAACTGGGTGGTGCAATATTTTAAAATTCTATGAAGCAAATTTCTTCTGCCCTGAGAAAGGGGTCTTAAGACATCAGGAAATGTTCTCACCGATTTTGAGTGGTGCATCTGGGGCTGGAGTTGCATAGAGAAGATTCTCTGGTTTGAGATCACGATGGACAATCCCATTTTCATGTAAGTACTAAATAGGGGAAATAACGAAGTGACATTCATGTAATTATATTTATGGTTCCAACATTTATATTTACTGTTTTCAGAATTGTAATAGTTTTTACTAAATGACTTGATTCAAGAATGCACATACCTGTTACGATTTAAAAATAAACGCCATAAAGGGAAACGTTTTCAAATATACATTATTAGAGAACAGCTTATATCTAGTTATCTAAAAGTGAAGTCCAGTTGAAATTGTATGCAACCAATTGCCAGAAATGAAATATTCACACCTTGGAGAATATTAATTGTGGCTCTCTTTATTCATATTACCATATCAGCTGGAACTATTATTATAATAAGGTGAAGGTGCTGTGTATTGAAATTTGTCTGGTTTATTATCTGAAAAGTGTAATTCTAAGTGTCATCTTGGAAACTCACAACCATAACAAAGACTTCATAATTATTGTTTGAACAGACATTTAGATGTGAGTAGTTATTACAGAGAACTATCTTTAATATGATATATATATTGTTATGGCAATAAATGCTGTCATAGGCTCTTCTGAGGATTAGTAAATCCACTATCAGTATAAATAAACAAGACTATATTTGAGATGAATCTTAAAGATCACCTCTAGCAAATACACTCATTTTACTATATTTTAACTTATTTTGTAAATTACGAGTAATCACACAGGTAACATACTCTCATGGTGAATGTTGAAGTCCTTTCTGACCCCACTTCCCCCAGTCCCAGATCCCTTTCCAAAAATAATCACTCATCAGTTTGAAATGGTTTCTTTTTTTCTATGCATTTACAAACATGAATATACATATACAAAGAGATATACCTGGTTTTTTCCATTTTCTTACATAAATGTGTCATTAGTATGAATTTTTTACAGTGCTTTGTTTTCATTAACAACATATCTTTGAAACCTTTCCCACATACCCCTTTAGCTTATTCTATTTAACTTGTTTTTTTTTTTTTTTTTGAGGAAGATTAGCCCTGAGCTAACATCTGCCATCAATGCTTCTCTTTTTGCTGAAGAAGACTGGCCCTGAGCTAACATCCATGCCCATCTTCCTCTACTTTATATGTGGGATGCCTGCCACAGCATGGTTTGCCAAGCGGTGTGTAGGTCCGTACCCAGGATCCAAACTGATGAACCCTGGCCACAGAAGTGGAACGTGTGAACTTAACCACTGCACCACCAGGCTGGGCCCCTCTATTTAACTCTTGAATCCATTTTGTTGGATGTATCATAATTTATTTTGCTATTCCATTTTTGATGGATGTTCAAGTTTTTAAAAATTACAAATAATGCAGTAATAAACCTTCTAGCATTTGGATATTTGGGTATTTTTGCTGGTGATTCTCGAGGACAGATACCTGGAAGCAGGTCTAGTGGGGTCCAAAGGTATATAGATTTTTTATTACAATATTTACTGCAAAAATCACTCTCCTAAAAGACTCCATCAATTTTTACTCACATAAACAATGGAAGTATATATGTTTTTTTAATATCTTTACTAAATCTGTATTTTTAACTTTTGCTGAGCTGGAGTATAAAGATTCTATCTTAAATTTGGTTTAATTCGTCCTTCTCTGTTCACTGGTATAGTCAAGCTTCTCTTCATATGCCGGTTGATTTTCCTCTTGGAAAGGATATGAACTGCCTGTTCATATCCTTGCCCATTTTTCTGTTAAGAGAAAAAGTTGCCAGAGAGCTGCCTTTTTTCTCCTTTCCTGTCTCATAGGAGAAGGGAGAGAGTCTTTCTTTCTGCTCAAGCCAAGAAAGAGGAAGTGGACATCTTCAAGGTCACAATGTGGTGTTTGACATGTGTCACTTGGTGATTTGGGGAAACAGACTGAGGTATGGCTCATGAAAAATTGAAAGATGTGTGGAGCAGGTGAGTGAGGAGAGAGGGCCTGAGATTCAGCTGCCCTCAAATAATAGCTGTACAAGGGTGCACATTTCTCATGGGCCCAAGGTGGGCTGTGGGGAAGGGAACTAGACACGAGTCTCCCTGAAGAGGTCCCTTTGCAGGAGTGTCTCCTGCCTGAATGATGCCTTCTCAGCGTCTCGGGAGGGAGATGACAGCAGGCAGCTGAGGAGCCGTTGACTTCTCAGAGCACCTGCAGTGAGAGAACTGCCCTGCAATGGAGATGTCTCTGTAGAGCCAACAACAACGTCCCCCAGGAAAAGAACAATAGGCATTTGTAACCTGCCACACCCAGAGATAACTGAGGCCAGACCACAACTGTATCAGTTTGGTAAGACCTTTCTTAACCCTCTATCTCTTCTCCCCCTTCCCACCATCACCTTCACATCTCAACACTAGAAGGACCACAAATACCATCTAGCTGGTTGAAAAGAGCAAGTAAAAGAGAAGAAAAAACAAGTATCCCTACCCCCTATAATTATAAATTATAGATCTCTAAGGTTTAAGTTGGGGGAGGGAAGAAGTTTAAAGTTGGGCGAGTCTAAGATTTTGGTATTTTCTTTACCCAAGAGTGACTTGAAAAGCTATGGGAATGGCCTGAAATTTTATTCATGGAGGAGAAGAATGGCTACACAGAGATGATTTGCTAGGACAACAGTGAGAAAAAATCAAAAACTGCTTTTCCTCATGTTTTACCAGGTCTGGCTCACTCCTTACAGTAGACAATTATCACATGGAGATAATAGCGTACATGTCCCAATATTGTAATATTACTATATTCCAAGCACTATTCTAAGCACCTTATACCTATTAACTCATTAATCGTCACGGCAGCTCTATCAGGTAACTCATTTCATGCTTGTTTTGCAAATGAGAAAACAGAGGCATAAAGAGGCTAAGATATTTTTACAGTGTCGCACCTGGACATTGTGGAGTTGGGATTCAGACTCGGGCATTTGCCAGTAGAGTCCGGAGCCTCACCCATTCCATGATTCCAAAACAGATGCTTAAGCAATGTGTATTACTTGATTGTGTAGGATGGGGATGAAGGAGGGGAGGCGAGAATAACGAAGGAAAGGGAAGGTAGTGAGAGTGGGAGGAGAAATGAGAGAATGATAGTGCACCATGCTCAGCCTTGCATGATATCCAGGGAAAACCTACCATATCCCTGAGGAGGAAGATACTATATCTTGTATAAGCTGAGTTTGAAGGCAAAGATACGAGTATTTCATATAGTAGCTTTGGAACATACCTAAGAATTGCACAGCTTGGGATCAATAGAAAATAATGATAGCTCCCCCGCCATCTAACCCAATTTAGAAGCTCCATTGCTTTGGGAAGGACATTGAAAATAGCAACACAATAACAATAACAAATGAGATGAACTGACAAGCGTTGGTTTAGCAAAGTACTAATTATATAAAGATTCTCATTAAATGTTGTCTGGCTTTCCTGATCAGAAATGGTGGTTATGTGTTTTAACTCCAAATTTAAAAAACAAACAAACACCATTTGGCATTCCATAGGAGAGTTAGACGAGATAAAAAAAGAAAAGCTTTAGAGCAAATATAGATTTAGGAACTATGTGCTACCAGAGGAACAAATTTAAAAACAAAATAAAGCAAAGAAATAAAAGTCATGATCCCGACTTTTAAAAATATAGTCAGGGATCATTTGATATAAATTACTTGGTGTAGAAAGATTATTAAAAGTCATGATATAATCATGTACACACGTAGGAGGAGGCATTTAAATATATTTGATTGACAAAATGGCAGGAGTGACTATTTTATTTTTGCTTAGACCTACTGATTGCCTTTGACCAACAGTTAGTATATTTAACTTTTACATTATCTCAACTTAGAAAGCCAGGAAGAAGGACTATTTGGAGTATGATCTTCTGTCTTCCCCCAATGAGATAAACCATTAGAAGGAGCAACACTTTTATAGTGCCAGCTCTCCAACTTTTTGATCTCCTTTATAGTAAAAAAATTTATTGAGAACCCTGGAGAGCTTTTGCTATGTGAGTTATATCTAACATTAGTTACTGTGTTAGAACTTAAAACTGAGAAAAAAAAATTACTTATTGGGGCTGGCCCCATGGCCTAGTGGTTAAGTTTGGTGTGCTCTGCTTTGGCAGCCTGTTCTGTTCCCCGGCACTGACCTACACCACTCATCAATGGCCATGCTATGGCAGCAACTCACATACAAAAGAGAGGAAGATTGGCACAGATGTTAACTCAGGGTGAATCTTCCTTAAGCAAAAAAAACAGGAAGACTGGCAATGGATTTTAGCTCAGGGTAAATTTTCCTCAGCAAAAAAACCCAAAAACCAAAAAACATTAATTTATTTAAAAATAAAACAACTCATGACAGGTTAACACAAACTTTGTAAAACAAAAATAACTATATTTTCTAAAACAAAAAAAATTAGTGAGTAGCATGCTATTATTTTAAAGTTTTGTAGATTTCTTTAATTTCAGCTGGATTCGCATATCTGCTTCTGCATTGTCCATTGTAAAAGCACACATCATGTAGCCTCTGGAAAATTCCACTGTACTTTCAAAAGTAAGGGGAAATGCCTTCATATTATGATGAAATAGTTTTGACTTCACAGAAGTCCTCTGAAAGGGCCTCAGGGATCTTTCTGGAATTCCTAGACTTTATTTTGAAAACTTGTGTCTTAGAGCATCTGAAGACATAAAAAGAGTAGCTTAGGAGCTGAATAACAGGCACACCTCCCTTTACTTTCAAACTGGCTTTTAAATAAAAGACACACCTCTAATCTTATGAAGCACTGATCTCATCCCATCATAAAAAGATGACTGCACATAGAGAAGAGGAGAAGAAAAGGAAATCAAGAGAAAAAATGCTCCTCAAAATTGTGTAAAGACGCAATGGAAAAATGTGCAAAGACATTTTATAGCGTTATATTAATGATACAGAACTGATTAAGAAATATCTAATTATGGAGAAATATACCTTAACAAGATATTGTTGATTTTAGCTACAGATTATTTATATCTTGGGGATTCCACATAAATAGACAAAAAGATTAGAAAAATTACGAAATAAGAT